TCATCATTTATAAACGGAAAAAGAACAGTTCCGTTAAATATTATGACGGTGTGTACTCAAAAGCCAACTTGGAGGTTTATAGTGTGAATAATGTCACGTTGAAGGTTTAAAGTACTAGCTTAAAACTTTGAAAGTTTAAAGTGTCAGTACGTGCCATCTTGGAGGTTTTTTATGCGATTTTCCTTTTTTTTTTCTCCTTTCAAATCTTAAACTTTTATGTATGTGCTTCTTTTGGGTTTGGAAAATTCACTTTATGAATAAAGCTCTCTTTATAAAGAAAAGCTAAATCTTTTATATGGGGTTTAGTCTTTAATCCTATCTTTAATAAAGGGAATTAATTAGACGAATAAAGAAATGGAATTCCTTTTTTTTTTATGTTCTCTTTTAATGTCTATTATAGAGATATGACTCATACTTTATTGATCTTGTATAGAATAAACTAGCCATTTATATCCGAACTTGTCGGATTGCGCTCGAAGATATTTGAACTTAACGTTTTTAAAATGATGAAAAGTCGAATTTGATGTAATTTGTTCAGATGGTCGTGCTTGTTGTATACGTTGGATTTATGGGGGAAAAGTATTTGGTATTCAAAAATAATAATACATAGAAGTTTCTTTCCGAGAGTTCCATCTTTCAATGCCAATGGTTCAATATTCCACAGTAAAAAGGAGACATCCAATACAATTAATAAAGTCGATAATGTTTAATTATTACTAGATAAAGTGGAAGGAATAATAAAATAGAATGTATATGCGTGTTTGATTTAATTAGGAAAAAGGTGCACTTTTCCTTGAGGGTACATGCATTGAAATCTTTATTTTTGATTTAAAATTTTAAAGTTAAAGGAAAAGGAAATTGAGGATAATTAATCATTTTATTTCTTGATGAAATGTGAAGTTTATTGATCAAAGAAAAAACCTATTTAAAATTTAGAATTAATCAATTTTATTTTTCGACAAAAAAACATCAATTGTATTTCGAACAAATGTATAGAGGGTGTATATTTCCCATTTCTGAGAACTTCATGTTGATATATATATAAATACAATACTCTGTTTTGTTATTCAAATCTGAGAGTTTGCTTTGTATAGTTAAACTTTTTTTTGGTAGTTAAACTTTGAAGCTTGAGACTTTGCGAAAAAAAGAAAGAAAGTATTTTGCGTGACAAAAAAACTCGTTCCAAAAGTCTCAAGAACTTGATGGATTTTAGAACTTATTTTGAATCTTTTAATATTTGGTACGTTAATGAGACTAGCTAAGATTGATATTATTTTGGTGTTTCGATTATCGTAGGATCGGCGGATTGGTTATATCGTAGGATCGGCGGATTTGTTCATGTATGTCACCATGTTTACCCATTATTTGATGTAGTTAAAATGACATTAATTTAGTTGGGATGTGTAGCCATATAACGGGTTATATTTGATGTAGCTACCAATCATTTTTCCTACGGAAAACTGATTTCATTAATTTGAAATTACTAACTATGTCTATAAATTTTTTTAATAAAAATTTTAGCATATTAAAACATGATTACATTTAGTTGTAACTCTTGCATATTAATAAATGTAAGCGTTAAGTAATGCTAGCATTTAATAATAATCTAACCAATAATCTAATTTGCAGCTAGCTTTACTTTACTTTTTCTACGTCTCTATCGTTATCGGGAGTTTTTGTAAGTTTTTCCAACCAGATTATGCAAATTTAATTTTTTTTAGGTTTTGTAATTTTTTGAAGTGTCTAGATGATGATGGTAGGTAGGTAGAAACCTTGTAATTTCTATTCATATACGGATTTCGTTTATTCAGCTATAGATAATTGAAAAAAACTTTTACAAAAACTGATTGGAATGTGATTTGGTTGTTACCAAGGCTAGTAATGCCATGAATTTGTTTTAAGACATCATCAAATCTGATCATACACCCAACGTCAAAGATTTTAACAAGTTGTTCATTGTAGTTGCCAAAGCAAAACGTTATGATATGGTGCTTGATAAGTGCAAACAAATAAAATTACTTGGGCTTTTCCAGTCATTTATACGTTCAACATATCAATAAAAGGTTTTTATCGATCTTCTGGAATTGGATTTGCATATTTACTTTTGGAGAAAATCTGAAGTTTGGATATAAGCCTGATGTAGTCACATATTCCACTATTTTAAATGTATTAGGTCTGACTCGTAAGTAAAAGAGAAAAACAAATTTCATCTAATATATTCCGAGCCCATTATCAATTTTTTTTCCCACTAAATTGCAGAATAAAGCTTTTTCCCACTAAATTGCAGAAAAAAATAATTCTTCTTGCTTTCTCTCAGGAACAAAAGTTTGATAGAAATATTTTCCCCTCTAAACAATCTAAATGAAGTATAAATGTTTTTTTTAGTTAGAAATTAAGAAAATTATAAATTAAAGATGTTTTTTTTTAGTTTGTCCATCTATACCTTTATTTGAATGTTCATCAAAATCAAAACTCTATTTTTGAATGAGATGGGCACGTCTGACGCAGTAGTGTTGGATCTCTCATTGGTTCTCCCTGCCAATCCTACTCCCAACTCCAAAGACAGGTAACAAACGATTTGGGTTTTCATTCGCTTTCCTGTAGTAGGGAAAAAAGAAATATCTCTCAAAATAGTCGGACATCTCGAGGGTTTGTTTCTGTCTCTGTTGTTTGAGTTTGAGATTCAGAGACGATTGACCTATGGTTTAAGTTTTTGGTTTTTGATTACCCTTTTTATATAAATAATTAGTTTTTTCTGATTTTTATTTTTCAAATTTGCGAGAAACAAATGAATAAGACTTTTTATCGAATGTGCAATTGTTCTTTCCTAATCTGACAGACTCAATTTTGAATTTATAAAATTTGTTTTACTTTGTTTAGAAGACACTTTCTGCAGTTTGTACATGTTTTAAAATGTTCAGATTATGCGATCTAAACATTATAAATGTTTTAAAAAGTTTAGCATATACTAACATTTTACGAAATTTAGAAGATAATTTCAGAATATGTTCTTTCGAACTTTGTTCTATGGTCTACAAAGTTTAAAATAATTTTCCCAAGAAAAAAACTATTGTTTCAATATTTCATGACACCACATGTCCACACGCAAATTTCTATAAAATAAAACTAAATATTCGATTAATTACGAGACAGACATTAAGTAGGATAAAATATTTAACTATTAAGAAAAATAGTACAGTACACAGGAGAACATAATCTCTATTATTTACTACTTTTGATTCAAGTGGCAGAAGAAAACAATTAAAGATCACAAACACACAAGGCAAGGGATTTATGAGACCTTATCTTCTCCGAAGTCTCTTCTACTTGCCAACTCACTTTTTGATGTTTCTATAATCAAAACCATTTATTACTAATTGTTTAAGAAAATATTTTTCTCCTTCATCCTTTTTGACTTCGATCGCTTCCATAATCAAATAACACAGAGCTGACACAAAACTGATCTTCTTCCGTATAGTTCAGAGATCCTATAAAAAAAACAACAACATTTTTTACATTTTTAATGCATTTTAAACAAAATGTATTTTTCCACTACGTACTAAAATACTATAATTAACGTTAGCCTTTATGAAGAAGAATTAAGCATATATCACGTTATACTTTTGTAATTTCATTTCTTGAAGATATGTATCACGTACGACAAAATCTACTTATCAACTACACAAACACACACATGACATGAGATTCGATACAATTAAAAATTTTGCTTACAGAACAAGATTAAACCCTTTTCTAGGTTGTCTCTCCGCAAGATACATACGGTTCTTGTGCAATTGAGTAATTTAGAGAGAATCATTAGAATCTTAAGCAAACATCAGATTTACATATTTGGATAGCATTAGGAGGATGCTCCTAATGACGTATAAAGTTTGCAATGCTCTAAATCAAAACGAGATCATCCTAATGTTTATGTCGTAGGGTCTCAGGTTGAATTGATATGTCAAGAATGTTATTAAAGATGATATAACACATCAAGAATCCGAATACTTTTTTTTCCCCATGACAAGAATCGATAAATTACACTGACTTGTGTTCGGATTTGATGCAAGAAGTCTCCGGTTTTGGTTTCCTTTTCATGTAAAATGAGAACATATGCTTCTTATTCATAATCTGAGATATATAGAAATCGATTCTTGGAATATATGGAACTGATCCACACAGTACTATAGTAGGAAAAGATACTAGTATAAAACTTCTATCTACATTATTTTCTGGTTTAGGATCACTGGAAAATAAGTTTATCATAAACTTAATGGCTTCTCATAATGTGATTTGTGATTGATTTGTTGTAATCAAATGTACCAAAATGTTTTCCTTAAGAGGAATGATCATAACAGCTTCAATTTTCTTTTTTTATTTCTTGAAG